TTGTTTTAAGGAAGGAAGGTCTTAGAATATCATTTTCATTTCTTTATTGGTTTATTCTTATTCAAGTTTTCCATTTCTTCTACGAATTTTGACATTTAAAATTTTTCTAGGAATTTAATCATTTCATATAGTTTTAAAAGATTGTTACCATATAATTGTTCACAATACTTTTATTGTTTTTAATACCTCTGTTATTTCCCTCCGTCCTTCCCCTTTCTGGGACCAAGATGTGTTCTTGGAGCCAGGACTGTCCAGGCTGGCAGGTGGTGGGCCTGCAGGTATGAGGGGGGGGCTGGCGGTGGGACGGAGCTGAGCAGCAGACCCCAGCTCCTGCTCCGCTCCTCCTCCACAAAGTCTCCCTGGAGGCCAGTGGTTGCTCTCTCCAGTTTCCTGCCCTCTGCTCTCCACCCGGTCTCCAGGACACACGTCCCCACTGCCAAATCACGGTGCCCTACATTGCTCCACCGGCTGTCCTCAGGCCTCCTTCATCTGACCCCAGGGATGCCCAGCTGATCGTCCTTCAGCAGTCTTTAGGACCCTCTGCCCTCACTGGGCCCCCTGACTGCAGCCAGGCTGCACTGAGCTTTCTCCAAGACTACCCGGGGTAGGCCTTGGGCCCATGCTCTGCCCTGCTGGCTGCCCACTCCTGCCACCTCCATCCTGGGGACTGCTATGTCACCTGCATGTGTCGCTGCTGGGCAGGGCAAGACAGGGCCATGGAACCGCACCCACAGAGTGCTTCAGGAACGCCCCTTTCAGCCCCAGGTGGCCAATGCCCCAACTCCTGCTTCCCGCACCCTCCCTCAGGCAACTTCACGCTAAGGAGTCCAGCCCATGGCACCAGGACTCACCTCTGCCCCAGCGCCCTCTGCCTGTCCCCCAGTACCCCCACGGCCTACCTGAGCATGCAGAGCGGCCAGAAGAGCATCGAGCTGGACCTCCAATGTGCGGCTTCCCACACTCACGGCCGCCTCAAGGATCTGGCCCAGGCTCTGCTTAGGGCAGGGAGAAGACGGCCATCAGTCCCCGCTCCAGCCCCCAGACTGACTGTGGGGCCAACCAGAGCGTCCCAGTCCAGGCTGCAGGAAGAAGCCAGGAGGGCACAGACCCTACCTCGGGGCTCAAATGAGGAAGCCTGACTTCCACCTCCAGATTCTGGAGCTTCCCAGGAAGGGGCTCAGGAAAGGGGCTTTCTATGTTACAGGTGCAGCCGGCCAAGAGGTCCAGGTACCCTGGGTACCCATCCAGGGCAGAGTTGTGGGAAAATGCTGAGCTGGTCCCCACGGAGGACTTCCTACATGCAGAAGGCCCCAAACCCACCACTGAATCTTAATAGACCACTCAGGGCTACCTGCCCCAGGGTCTGATTTAAGGGGTTCTCGGGGGTTGGGTGGCAGACCTGTCTCGCCTGCAGATACCTTGGACACGTAGAAGGTCTCTGCATGCTTCTTATAGAGGGCGAGGACCCCAGGGAGGAGCTTGGGAAGCTGCTCCTCCAGCTTCTCGCTAGGCAGCAGGAGGCTCATGGGCCCCAGAGCCTCCACTACAGCAAGCCGGAGCTGCGGAGAGATGGGGCAGGGCATTAGCCACACAGAGCCCTTCACCAAGTGCCTGCGCAGGCATGAGGGAACCCCAGGTTACCAGTGGGTCCTAAAGGGCTGGGAAGTGGGCCCAGCAGCCACAAGTCATAGTGCAGCAGTGGAGTGACCGTGGACAACTGGACGGCAGCTAGGCCAAAGCAGCGTGTAGGACACACTCAGTGCCACCCCAGGCAGTAGGGGCCTCAGGGCAGGCAGAGGGTAGGAGCTGGGTGGACATCCACAATTATGAAGCCTCAAGGGCACATGTGCCCAAGGAGAACAGGACAAGGTCCAGAGCAGGCTGGTGCCAGTTACAGGTGTGGGACCCACAGGTGAGGCTCTGTCCAGGGCATCTCTGCTCCCCATGCAACCCCCCACCTCTGGAACACCAACCGTGGGCAGGGAACTAGAGGGACGGAGGACCCTGGCAGCAGGTGTAGACAGATGCCTTGGCCCCCTGCCCACTCTATGGCAACCCCCAGTCAAAGCCCACAGAGCAGCAGAGCAAAAGCCCTCACAGTGGCAGCCAGGCCTGGAGTGGGAGAGGCAGCCATGCCAGGCCCAGATGGGCAGGGGTATAGGGACATACCCTGGGTTCTCGACTCTGTAGCCAGTGGTGGAAAAGAATGTCATAGGCACTGAAGATGTCGGTGGCAAAGGTGTCCTTCCTGACTGTGGGGTCTGGGGCTTGGTCCAGGTTGGCCAGATACTCCAGGGTGCTCTCACTGAAGTGCTGCAGGGCTGCAACGAACCCCAGTGTGAGTGGCTTCCCAACAGCCCTGGTCTGCATCGTGCCCCTTCTAGAAATCCCACTACAGCCTGCAAGATGCCTCCCTGGCACACTGGCCAGGTGCAGGACTCCAGGACTACACTGGGGTGAACAGAACCTCCCAAGTTCATGTTCTACCCAGAACCTCAGACTGTGACCTCAATTGGAAACAGGGTCTTTGTGGATATAATTAAGACACAATCACAGTAGAGTAGGGTGGGCCCAAAATCCAATATGACTGGGGTCCTTATCAGAAAAGAAGAAGAGACAGAGACAGGGAGGAGATGGACACATGACAACGGAAGGAGAGGGGGTAGCGGGGCAGCGACGCAGCCACAGCCAAAGACGCCCGGGATCCACAGCCACTACCAGAAGCCAGAGGAGGCATGTGCTCTCCCTCTGGTCCCCACAAGGAACCAATCCCACTAACATCTTGATCTTGGACTTGTGACCTTCTTAACTGCAAAAGAGTAAGTTTCTGACGTTTTAAGCTACCCAATTTTCGCTTGGTACGTTGTTACCTAAGTACTAGGAAACCAGTGTAAGTACCAACAACCCTGTCAAGGACTGGGCAGACATGGGAACCGAGGAGGGACACCGCCAAGAGGGAAGCACCTCTTGGCCAAGGCCTTGCTCAGAAGCTCCAGGGGCAACTCCAGAGCCTCGGGAAGAAGTGCCCACCACTTGGGGAGGGTCCTTGCAGGCCTGAGGCCCACTCAGAAGCTGTCCGCATCTTCGGCTCCACCAATGGGGCCACATGCCCTACAAAGTGGCCTCCCAGCCACTGCTCCTGACAGCCACGAGTGCTGCTCCAAGTCACAATCTGAACTCTACATTTGTAGACGATTAATTTTAATTTTCTCCAAACAGATGTGAAATGACATCTCACTGCAGCTTCATCTGTATTCTCCTAATTACCAGTGGGAGTCTTTCCTGATGTATGTTGGCTGGCTTTGGCCTTTTCGTCCCTCGTTTTTGTCTGAGCTGAGGTCTCCCTTTCTCATTTCACAGGTGTTCTTCCTGTATCTGCTTTGAAAGGCAGCTCATCGGTGTGGGCCAGACTGCCCAGTCACCAGGCTGGCTCAGCCACTCTTCAGGTGTGTGATCTGAGGCAAGTTACTGTCTGTGTCTGGGTTTCCTCACCTGTAAAATGGGGCAATGGTAGCACCGACGCCCAGGGCTGTTTCAGACCCACCTGGGCTGACGCAAGCGTGGTGCTGAGCGCTGGTCAGATGTGTGTGTCAGCTCCTAGTGCCCTTGCTATGTCTACTTCTGCTCCCAGGGCCACGGCTGGGCCTTTCCACTTGTTATAGAGCAGAGATAAACTTTTTAATTTTATAGTATCTCGTGATGCACCAGGTTCTTTAATTTTTAACAATAAATGTATTAATTCTCTCCTTTGTGATTTGTACTTTTTGCATCTTAAGAAATCACTTTAAATCCAGCACTTAAGCTAGCGGGTGCAGGTGTCCCTGACAGCCCTACCAGGCTTGCTGGCCCCTGGCTTGTCCATGCTCAGTCAACCACCTCACACCCTTTTCTCTCAACAAACCCCCTCCTCACAACAGGCTGACAATCTCACTGAAGAGGACCCCGACCCTGGCTGAGACGCCACCTGCACCCTACAACTCCTGGCTCCTGTATTTCCTGTGGTCACTATAAAGCCTCCCTCCAGCATAGTCCCTGCAGCAAAGCCCAGCCCTGCCCCTAGTAGAGCAGAACTGAGAAGTGTCTCCTCCCCCACTCTTGGGCCCACCCTCCAGCACTGCCCTCAGGCTTACCAGCCATCCTAAGGGCTAACCCAACAGTCAATTCACCAGTGGTGATTGGCAGATGAACAGAGAGCTGTGTGCCACCTCTGACACTGGCATGTAGGAATGTAAATACTCCTTAGATGCTGATCTTATAGCAGCATCCTGCTAAACTCTTGTCAACTCTAATAATCTGTGGGAATGTGTTAGGATTTTTACATAGACAATTTCATTAACTAAAGACCATAAAGGGCCGGGTGCGGTGGCTCACGCCTGTAATCCTAGCACTCTGGGAGGCCGAGGCGGGCGGATTGTTTGAGCTCAGAAGTTCGAAAACCAACCTGAGCAAGGGCGAGACCCCGTCTCTACCAAAAAAGAAAGAAATTAATTGGACAGCTAAAAATATATAGAAAAAATTAGCTGGGCATGGTGGCGCATGCCTGTAGTCCCAGCTACTCGGGAGGCCGAGGCAGAAGGATTGCTTGAGCCCAGGAGTTTGAGGTTGCTGTGAGCTAGGATGATGCCACGGCACTCTAGCCCAGGCAAAAGAGTGAGACTCTGTCTCAAAAAAAAAAAAAAAAGACCATAAAATTTGGTTTCTTCCATTCTTTATTTGTCTGGTTGGTTTACTGTGGCGTCTTGCGGTGTTGGTTAAATTCCCCAGAATGTTAGATGACATTACACAGACGGTAACACCAGCTCTCCTTGCCCACCCCAACCCTAGAGAGGACCTCTGGGTGGTGAACACCACAGCCCCACCCAGCACATGGAAGCTATGGGATCCTGGAAGGACCCCTCACCCTTTCGGGGGCTTCCACCTTCCTGAGTAAAATGGAGAAAACAGCAGGTGAACTTAGCCTTGCATTCTGGGTACTCCTCAACTACGACTTGCTTGTTTTAGGGTTTCTGCATTTCTGTTCCCCTCTCACACTGTCCTCACCTGGTTTCAGTCATAGGTTAACCTGGCTCATAAATTGAGTGAGTTATTGTATATCCTCTGGAATTCTGTGTTTTAAAAAGTGTAAGAATGAGCATCTATGTCTTGCTTTTGACACTAGTAGAAATGCTTCTAGTGCTACCCATTAAGCAAGATGCTATCTTTGGGGCTGAGATAAATATATTTTTTCACCACGTGAAAGAAGTATTCATCCATTCATATTTACAAGGTTTTTAATAACAACTAGGGAGGTGGCTGTATGATTTTTTTTCTTATACCAATTAGTATGATGAGTCCAACCTATCCCCGGGGTGACTCCACCTGGTCAGGACACAGCCAGTCCTCAGTGCTTGAGACGAGTTTTAGGTTCAGCTATCGTGGGGGATGCCACATGACAGTTATTAATATCTACTTGGTTCCCAAGTTTTGGAACTAAGAATCAACACATCAAAGGTCACCATTTCCTCTAAAACCACCTTTGACTACAGATTCAGCGGCAGGAGCGCAGATGGAGGTGGGCTCGTAGGGGAGCCAGGCCCACACGTCTCTCTTGAGGTAATACTCAGGTTGTGAGAAGAATTTGGAAACTGTCCTTTTCACTTTTTTGCTCTTGGGAGAACCCCCTGTGGAAGTAGCCTGGGCTCCATGCCAGGGTGGCACCAGCAGTTCAGAGCTCCCCTTCAGGGAAGTTAACTTTCCTGCTCTGGGTCTCAGAGGTAGTGTCACTGTCCCTCCATCATTTCCCATTTCATTTTGGAGTTTTCTTCCTTTTCTCTTGATTAGGTAGCAACTTAACTATTTCATTCACTGTTCTCAAAGAACCAGATATAAAATATAATTGTTTTGCCAATTTTTAACTTTTTGAAATATTGGTTTCTTCTGTATTTTCTGCCTTGCTCAGGTCTGGGCAGGTGGGATGAGGACCACACACAGCAGTGATAAAGGTCACGTTGGCAGTGTATGTGGGACCAGGCTTACTCAGGACTCCTACAGAGCCATGAGGCCTTGAGGCCAGAGACGGTGATGAGCAGCCCCAGGCCACATGGCCACTGCACGGCAGCAGATTGAGGCCCGGCAGCCCAGGAGGGGCTGTCTGCAGAGGCTGCTGGTTCAGCAGGAGGAACATGCTGCAGCAGAAATCCCAGGACTCACAGTCGGGCCATGGACAGCACACTTCCAACCCTGTAGTGGCCATCTCTAAGGCTACTTGGCACTCCTACCCCCCCGCTGACAACACAAAGGGCACAGAGCTCTAACTGCTTCCTACCCCTCCACCTCCACAGTGGGCATGCTGGGACCTTCCTCCTGGCACTGGGGTACCCTGTGTACTCCTCACGCTCACTTGGAAACACCCAGGAGCCTCTGCGCCCTGTCCAGTCCCATGGGGGATGGGCTTCCTGCTGCCCGTGGTAGTGCATGATGGGCTCGGGCAGAGGGTCAGTGGCTGAGGGGTTGTGGCTCTGGGCACAGCGGTCCAGGTGGCCACTTCACAGTGTCTCATTTTGACGGGATGCAGCTAAGTGTGAACTCCTCACACCCTGTCTCTCAGGGAGTGAGTACACCCCACACCTGCCCGAACACACCCTTCCTCTCTGTGCTGCCTCCCAGCTGTCTTCAGGCCCCACCTAACCCACCCTCTTCCTCTTCAGTGGAAAGGGTTTTAGTCTTGTTTCTAAAAACTTGATTTGGTCCTCTTTTCAAACTGGCTTCGTTCCCATAGAACCTTGCTCTTTTCTCATAATTTGTTCCCTCTTTTATGTCTTCATCCTGTTATTTTACATCCTACATCTGATAATTCCATAATAATGCTGTCTAATCATACACCTTGTGTCTGCGCTGACACCACGTGCTCCATGACTATAACTGACACTGCCGCCCCAGTCCAAGCTGGCACTGAGACCTCCAACTCCACAGAAACGGTGCTTCCCTCAGCCAGGCCACAGGCCAGAGGGGCCAACCGCCTGGCCAGACTGGGACTTGGACTTTCAGTGGGACACTGCTCCCCACCCAGGGCCCTTCTAGCCCAATCTCACACTAAGGGCTTCCCAGTCCAGCAGAAAGAAGAAACTTGAACCTTGCGTCTACATGAAGACAAACCACAGTTATAAATTCTCAGGAGAGAGAATTTAAAAGAAATTTTAAAAGAAGAACCACCTCCCAGGGCACACAGCAGAAGGTTTCTCGTCAGTCACCATCACCCTTTGGCTGAGGATGGACCTTGGAGGGTCTGGTTCAGATGGGCTCTGGATCCCACCTGATGTGCAGAAAGGCCTTGTCTCCTACCCAGCCTGTGGCTGCTGAAATCCAGGCTGCCCGGGGCAGCTGGAGACCTCTGACCCTTCACTTCCTCACGCAGCCTTCCTGTCAGCCTCAGGGTTTCTCCTCCCAATCAGGAGGACCTTGGTCAAACTGATCAGCATTCTAGGTATTTTGTAGTGAGAAGGTTTTTCAGAATAACAGGCCACTGTACTGCCAGAACCAGAATCCCATCCCCCCCAACTTGTTATTAGGTTTTGGTTTTTAATCAATGTTTTACACACACATAGGTTAAAAGAGCAATTCTCAGATACTCAATTTCCCTCTCTCTGGAAACAACCATTCTCTAAGTAACGAACCTGCAGTGTTTCTCAAGCTGCCCCTTTTTGCACCTCCCTCCGCAAACACTTCCTAACCTCAAGGCAACTTTTATTGGCCCGGGAGTCGCTGCCTGTGTCCTAGCCATGGCACTGCTGAGAGCTCACCCTTCCCTACAGCTGAGTCAGTGACCCTGGGGACTTGTGTCTGCTCAGCTCTCCAGGTGTGCAGCACCAACAAAACCCCCGCCTCTTGGCAGGTGCCAGGGCAGCTTTTGCAGCCCCTGGGCCTCTTCTTTCTTGGCTCAATCCACACCTTAGTGGGGTCCACCTCCAGTCACTGCTGAAAACACATGGGAGGTGTGCTTTTGAGCCCTGATTCTCTAAACTAGTCTTTATTTCACCCTCACATTGAAATGGCTTTCAGGCTGGGCTCAAATTCCAGGTTGGGCCTCCCATCAGGGCTTTGTGGGGCTGTCTCCCGAGCTCGCCAACACCGGCGAGAAGCCCAAGGCCACCCTGTTTCCTTCTCCTCCTCCTGGACCAGTCACTCCCCACACAGTTGGTGTGGCCCTCAGACGACCTCCCCGTCTGGAATATCTTCTGTGTGGGGAGTGGTTCTTAATCACTTCATGGCCCCCCCCACTTCTCTGTTCATTCTCCCCTGGGTGCCTGTTATTGGAATGCTGGCTTCATGGTCTGGCCTAGTTCTTCCTTCCCTCTTCTACTTTCCATATTCCTGCACTTTGGCTCTATTTTCCAGAAGATGTCCTCAACTTTCTCTGCCAATTTTCTATTATGTTTTCCATTTTTATTATCATGTCTTTAGCTCTCAAAAGCTCAATCTGATCTGAATGTACCTTCCTCATGGCGACAAGCTCTAGTTCCATGCATGCATTACCTTCTCTTATCTCCCTGAGGATATCATCATAGGTTCTCTTTCTTGGTTGTATTCTTCCCCTTGAACTGTCTGTACCCCCAAGTCACAGGCTCTGTTTCCTTTGCTGCCACCTCTCCTATCAGAGACTTTCCTCTGACAGGAGGAATTGCTGGCTGCCCGACCTGCGGAACAGCTCGGCCAAGCCAACCAGGCACCTGACTATCTGTGCCTCCCTCGGGCTCCTCTCTTGCCTGGTGGCAGCGTCCTGAGAGCTGGATAGGAACAAAGCTGCGGGCACATACCTGCTCCTGCTCTTGGCACAGCGCCACTATCCTTGGCTGGACCCACTCCCTCCCCATGGCGGACACAGGTCTGCCCAGAACCAGAGGCTGCCTCCGGCCCTAACTAACTGCCGACACCCACCGATGGGCCTCACACACAGCAGGTGCAGACTTCCCTGGTCTGATGGAGGCTGCTGCGGCCGGCGGAACTACCACCTGCTTCAAATGCGAACAGGATGTTCCATCTGCGGCGAGGGGCACCTCACATGAGGGGATCCTTCAGAGAGTCTCAGAGAGTCTAAACCCACTAGGTCCATGCGTGAAAGAAACATCGACAGGGTAAAACTTGGAGGAACATTAGGCCTATCAAGCAAAAGGTGACCAAGAGTCTTTCAGAACTACAAGTCAGTTTCTGCTCAGAGCCTCAGCAGTTGGAGGGATTCATGTCACGTATTTCCCTGGAGTGTCAAGGAAGTCACTGCCAGGGACACCATGGGGCACCCCGTCACTTGGTCCTGATCATGTGAGCCTGGATGAGGCTGCCCTGCACCCTGCCCATATGTACGTGTGTACACGGTGAGGCCCACACCCCGGGCCTGCTCCTCCACGCCCAGCTCAGGATGCAGTGTCCGGATCCTGTCACCAGTCCCATTTTCAGCCCAAACTGAGTCAAGCAGAGTTTCAATCACTTTAACCCAAGGGGCCTGCTCTTACCCACAGGCGGCGAAGAGTGTGCAGGGAAGACCTCCCCCGCCGCAAGGAGAAAGCATAAAAGAGACAGGGCGAGGGGAGATGGGAGCACAGGGGCTGTGAGGAGGGCATGGTGAGTGTAGGATCCCCGAGGAGACGGGACCCCAAGGAGTCGTGGAACCCGGACCCAGAACCAGCAAAAGTAGAGCAGCTAGGGCCCAAAGCTCCACACTTGGCTGCCGCTGGTCCCAGCCCCGTGCCAGGCACCTCCCCCATCACCACACCCCTCCCACCCCATGCCAGGGCTGGGGCTTATGGAGGGGCCGAGACCCACGGATGCAAGGTCCTGTTCTCCACACCAGCTACCAGAGTCCCATTCTTCCTGTCACGGGTGCTGTGGGCTGAGGAAGCCAAAGGCCCTGGCTGTGAGGTTGCTGTAAGGGGTACCTAGCCCCACAGTGTCCCAGCATCTCCAACTTCTGCTAAGCTAACCCTCTGTCCCCTTTCTAGCAGGGCACCCTCCATTCCCAATGGCCATACTCCCCATGGGGCACCAGTTGCAGCTGAAGCCACCAAGGCCCACACTGGCAACAGGCCCATGGTTCCCTGCCTGGTACAGAATGTGGCAGACACTGGCCACCAGGAAACCACTCTCAGGAGGAAGTGGGAGGTGGGAGAATATCCCCCCGGGCCCCTGGTGCCAAGATGTCCAGGGAGTAGCCACTCCTCCAGCTCAGAGTGAGGAGAGAAGTGGGGGCAGAAATGGAAGGTCAAGGCTTTGAGGAAGTCTATTCCCACCCGAGGTGTGCTCAGGCCTCCACCAACACGCAAGAGGTGCTGGGAGCTCCCCAGGAGCAGAGAGAAGCTGCCAAGAGGGAGAGGCTTAGCCAGCAGCCCCTCCAAGTGCCCAGCCCTGGCCCCACAAAGGGGCATTGGAAACAAAAGAAGGGAGTAGGTGGGCACCCACTGCCCTCGGTGCCGCCACCTTACCGGAGCAGAAGGCCACCCTCAACTCGTCCTGTTTGGCCATGCCCAGCATGGGCAGCATGGTGCTCAGGATGGATGGCAGGAAAGGGACCATGCCAAACACTGCAAGAGAGAGGGGCTGTCACAGGGGCTGTGTCAGGCCAGCCCTGGGCCCAGCCGTACAGTGGGACAGGAGGAACCCAGGAGCCAGCATGGTCCTCAAAGTCCCTCTAACTCACTCAAGAACACAGGGTGGGGCCAGGCCATCACCTACCGTTGGAAACTGCAAGGCTGGCAAACGTCCGCACGACAGAACAGTGTGGCAGAGCCCCGGGCTGGAACCTGCTCAGCATCTCCTCCATCACCCTGTTGATGAAGTGCTGCCCCACGGCCACGAGGACACTGCTCGCAGCCTGCTGCCAGCCACAAACCAGCTCCTAGACCCCAGGGAGCCAGAGGCAGGACCTCTCCTGAAATCTTCAACAGGCAAAACCAAGATGCCCCACCTTGGCTGCCCTGTGCTCAGCGTCCCCAGAACATGAGGGTTGCAGAAGGTTGCACGGCACGGCCTCCCTTCTGAGGGCTGTGCCAGAAGCCCTCACACCTGGGGGAAGTAACAGCACTGGGGAGAGGGGCCAGGAGCCTTGAGAGGCCAGCACCCTGAGAGGGCCAGGCCCAGCACAGAGCCACAGCCCTGGTCCAGTGCCCCTACATCTGCTGAAAGAGTTTGGGTGTTTTGCTCTCTGCTTTGGTTTCTGCCTCTGAAGATTGTGGGGTGACTGTCCCTGGCCCAGCAGGGTAGTCCATAGGACCATGGGGCCTCTGTCGGCCCAAAGTGGCCAGACATTAACACACTCTTAATGCTTTTGGGTAGAAAGGCCAAGAAAAAGAAGCTTCCTGCCCAAGGTAGGACCGAGTCTCCATGGCCAGAAGACCTGCCCACGTACCTTTGTCCTGGTCATCTCGCTAGAGGCCAGGAGGATGATGATGTTAGCCGTGTCCTTGTCCAGCTTGCTGGTGTGGTTGCGCAGGACCATCTCCATGGTCCTCAGTACCATCGCCCGGTATGGATGTGCCAGCTGAGGAGAGAAGCCGGGACGTGTGAGTCCAGCGCCCAAGCACTCTGCACACCTGTCATCTCCTCTACAGGGATGAACCCGCACCAGTCAGCCCTCTCTGCCTCAAACACAGGAGCGGGGACACACTTTAGTAGGACAAGGCGGAAGGATCACTTGAGCATAAGAGTTCGAGACCAGCCTGAGCAACATAGTGAGACCCTGTCTCTATGAAAAATAGAAAATTAGCCAGGCGTGGTGGTTCCAGCTACTCGGGAGGCTGAGGCAGGGGGACCAATCACTTCAGCCCAGGAGTTCGAGGCTGCAGTGAGCTATGATGACATCACTGTACTCCAGCCCCCAACAAAGTGAGACCCTGTCTCTAAAAAAATAAATAAATAAAAACAGATTTTTAAAAATAAAAGCTAAGAGAGCTGAGGGGGCAGAAAGGAGAGACCATCCTCCGGGACGTGTCATAAGGCCACAGCACAGTCAGTGGATGTTTTCGTGGAACTGTGCTAGTCCCCAGGAGATGGTAGTCAAAAAATGAGAGAGAAACACTCTTATGTATCAAAATATTAAATCAAACACAAAGAATAACGGTCTTTTGAGATTGCAAAAGTCTCTTCCCCTTCCAAGAATGGTCTAAACCATCCATTGAGAAAAAAGAAAATGTGCATAATAATTTCAGACAACAGAGAGCTAGCAGTTACAGAGAACTGCTGAGCCACTGCCAGGAGAGGGCAGAAATGCCACGAGATGAAACCAGCTCTGAGCCACTTCTGCCCCGAGCTCGGGTCAGTGACCGACCAGCAGTGGAGGGCCCCTCAGGACTCTCTCCAAGCGACTGTCGGAAACAACCTTCTCTCCCTCAGGCAGGGACCACGGTCTGTCCCTTGGGCACTGAGCCTGGCACAGAGCTGCTCAGTCTCCACTCGGTGCAGAATCAAAGGCATGGCAAACAGCCTCCTTCACAAGGGTGAATGTTGCAGTGGTCACAGCCCAGTCCCCTCATGACGGGACCCTGAGCTCACTGGGGGATGCAGCCACACTCGACATGTGATAAGACAAGGCAGGTTATCTGTTCTAAGTACCCAGCCTTGAGAAAGCTGAGACATGCAGCCAGCCCTGCACGGTGCCTGACCAGCTGCTCCTGGCGGGGCTGTCTTTCTCAAACCAGGTCAGCCCAGACCGAGGGTGGCCCTGATGATATCCCCGTCACCAAGGGGCAGAAATACCTTGTCGTGCTGCCGCAGGTACTCCTCACAGGCACAGAGCATCTCCTCTGGCTGCACCTCCCCGAGGGAGCACAGAGCACTGCAGACCTGCTCCTGCACCATGGGGTCCTTGTCTGTAATGGCATCCAGCAGAGTGCAGGACAGCTCTGCAGTGACAAAGCCCAGGTTAGCATGCTTAGGCCTGAGTGCCCTCCTCTATCACGCCTCAACTGCCACCCCTGCAGCACACACCTGTCAGCCTCTGAGGATCACAGACTCAGAGTGGAAGGAGACAGCATGTTCTGGCACCACCACCAGCCTGATGTCTCAGGGCCCAGTGGGCCTGTCCAGTTTGCACAACAGCCATGCCTCCCATCCCCTCAACCATGCCTACTATCCCCATGGCCACGCTACTGTCCTCAAGGCCACACTGATCTGCAGATGCCCTCTCTTGGTATGCCCCTCCCTCCATCTGGTCTAGCCACACCCCACCCTGATCTCCCTGCCTGCGCTGTCACAGGGGTCAGGTGTATTGAGCGGTTAGGCACAGGGCTATGGGGGCTCGGATTCCCACCATCACTGAGAAGCTGCCTGCATCGGGGCTGAGAGATGCAGAGGGCACAGCCTACATGCAGTACAGGCACCCATGGCCATGACCTCTTAGATTGTGCTTCCTTAAAGATATCAGCTCACCTGCCAGCCAGGATTCTAGAGAGGGTTCCCTCAGGGTCCATGCCCAGGGCAGCACCCCTCATGCCAAGGACAGGCTGGGATTCTCCACAACCCTATCTCCTACATGTAATACCTGGATAGGCAGGAACCAAGCAGAGGACCAGAGACTCCAGTAGTGAGAAATAAGTGAAGAAATAAAGCTACCGCCCCATCCCATGGCACTCAGCCTCAAAGGACCAGGTGTGAATCAAGGAAGTGATGAATAAATGTAGCAGTCTCTTGGCAAGGCCGGATATCACCTTGCTGGGTGGCACCCCAGGCCCCACCTATACCCATAGACTCTTGTCCATCACCCCATCTCCACTTGCCAATACCCCCCATGCCATTCAGGCCTCTCTGTGCCCCTCAAGATCAGGGCATGGCACCCGAGACTGGCACTTACAGAGCCCCAAGATGTGGCTCACCCTTTGGACAGAGCTCCGGAGGGCAGAGACACCTGAGGCAGGGCTTCCCTGTCATTCTGGGTTGCTACTATGCTGGCCTGAATGTTGGTGTCCCTCCAAAATCCACATGTTGGGACTTAGCTCCCAAGATGGTGGCATTAAGAGGTGGGGCCTTTGTGCTCTGTCCTCACAGATGGGATTAGTGCCTTATAAAAAAGCTTAAGGGAGAGCCCTAGTCCCTTCTGCCCCTCCTGATGTGTGAGGACAAAGCAAGAGATGCCATCTATGGAGCCGAGAGCAGCCCTCACCAGACAGCGAATCTGCCAGCACCTTGATCCTAGACTTCTCAGCCTCTAAAACTATGAGAAATAAATTTCTATTATTTATGAATTACCCAGTCTATTTTGTTACAGCAACCTGAACTTTTTTTTTTAATGAAAACCTGAAGAGAGCATGTTCACTCAACAGTCATTCCTTCAAACCACGTTTACTGATACTTGTCTGAGTCCCAGACTCAAAGCTAGCAGGTGTGAGGTCTACACCTAACGGACTACACCCGCCTCGCCCAGAGCCACTTCATGCATCACCGGAGCTGTAAGAGCCTTGGTCTGCCCCAGTCCCCAGGCCAGAGGCTTATGGGCCCCCTAACCCCGAGCACGTGTGCACTCACTCTTCACACAGGACTCAGTCATTTCTGTGGTCTTGGCTTCCTCTGCACCAATGTGAACACAGACAGCTTCTCTAACCTGGAATAACAAAAACCACAAGATTTAATTCATAAGCCTCCACAATACCTAAGTTTATGGGCAGTTGCCATTTTTGTGGAAAACACACAACTTAAATGAGTTTGTTCTGGGGAAACATCACATTTTCTTTGAGCCATGCAGGGAGGGCAAAAGGCACTGCTGTCCTCAACAGTCTCCAGCTCCCCTCCCTGAGCACACCTGGCAGCCCGCACCTCACACTATCAGTCCAGGGCAAGTGTAGCCACTGCCTCCACCTAAAGCATCTTCCTTCTTCACCCTGTGAAGAGCAGAGGATGGACGCCACAGGTGTCAAATATCACTTCTTGGAGCACCACGTGCAATAGACCATCACAAAGAATCAAGTCCATCAAATATGCAGGTTCCTTTTGCCTCCACACTATGTGGTCACAGGCTCAACTCCTACATCGCACTCTCCAAGCAGGATCAGAGAGGCCCCAGACCTGCCCTCAGTGGGGCAGCTGGCTTCTTCCCAGTGCTCACGTCTTCGGGCTCTCTGGGGGCTCAACCAGCCCCTTCACACCCTCAATCACCTCCCACCCATCACTCATTCCTGACATATTCCAGGGAAAAATAAAGGAGGGATGCCACGATCCCCTCAAGTAGGCAGGACATCTCACAGGGAGGGGACAAAGTGAGAAATCTGTAAGCATGAGAGCTGGTGGGATTGAACATGAGCGAAGAGCACTCACCCATCCCACAAAAACCCCAGAGAATGACAGAAAAGATGTATGTTTTTTAAAAAACAAAAACTGTAAAAGTACTGGAAAACAAAAAAAAGATAAAATTAACAGACCAGAAATTTCTAGGAATCCTGGGAAGACAGAAAGCCGATGGACAGCTCTGGTGTAAAGATGGTGGTGTCAGCATAGCATTTCCCCTTTCTTCCTGGAAAGCACCTAAAAGGAAGAAAAACAAGAAATAAAAACACACTTCCATTTCTGGCACAGTAAGGAGAAGGCCAAACACCCCAAGCCATGGTAGGGCTCAGAGCCAAAAGGGCAGCGGCTGTCAGGTGGGGTAGGGGATGCACTGGTGGCGGATTTCAGAGAGAGCCCACACAACACCCCTCCAAGGTGAGAGCACACCTGACGTGGAACATCAAAACCCTGAGTTCCCAGATCTGTGTTGAGTTTACAAGGTGGAGGAGCCCAGGCTGAACAATGTGTCTCTGGGGAACGGAAGCTCCACCCTGTGCAAGGCCACCACTGCTCAGCTCCATGGTCAGGGGAAAAACAAGGCGAAACCAGCTCCCACTCAACCATGTGTGGAGCGCCCTTCCCACAGTGCAGGAGTTACACTTGCCCAGCTCAGATGGGACTTACAAAAGCAACCCAACATGAGCAGGGTCTGCTCCAGCCCAGGTGAGACTAACAGGGACCAATCTGCCCTCCTGTAGAGGACACTTTGTCTGGGAATGTTTCCTTGTTGTTTTTCTCAAGAACATGTCTGTGGCCTTGCACGCAAGTCCAGAGCGCCCTAACCCTGCAAACAGGAGGGGCTATAGAGTTTAGATGCAAACATCTGCTCGCTGGAGACGAAACAACAAGAAACAGGGACGTGTTGAGTCGGGACAGTGTGGGAACAAAGAAATTGCAGTGGGACAGTTGCCAAACAGGCTGTGTTATAAATAAAGAAGCTACAGCAAGAAAATTTGCTGCAGCCTTATACCGTCTTTGTGGTGTCTGTGTCTTTTTGTCTCTGTGTTCATTCCTCGGCCCCAAGAAATGGGCCACGTCACCCTCCTAACCAAAACAACTAAAGAACTGGACAAAACACAAGAAACCACAGTTCTCAGGATAATGGACATCAGAAAACAAAGGACAGTGAGCCCTGAATGGTAGGAAATGAGGCCTAGCTCACTGCCTGGAGAGAACATCCAGGCGTGGGCCCAGCAATATATCTACGTTGAAGAGACAGAAGTGGGAGTGTCGAGGGACAGCAAGGTAGCTGGAGTTTGCAGGCTCCAGTGCCAGAGAGAGAGGTGCCCAGTGAGAACCTTGGAGAGCTACAGAGGTCCCAGGGCCCTTAGCTTTACTGATCAGCAGTAGGGCAGCAGGATAATAGCCCCAAAGATGCCCACGCCCTAATCCCCAGAACCTATGATATGTTCCCTACATGGCAACAGGGATTTAGAGGATGAGATTAAGGGTACAGACCTTGACATGGGGAGATTATCCTATATTATCTGGGTGAGACTAACCTAATCACATGAGTCCTTAAAAGCAGGGAACTCTTCCCAGCTGGGACAAAGAGAAGAGACAGAAGAGGAAGGAGGAGAAATCTGAAGCATGAGGAGGATCCAACTCACCATCTAGTTCTGATGATGAAGGAAGGAGCCTCTGAGACAAGGAATGTGGGTGGCCAGATGCTGGTAACGGCCTCAGCTCGTAGCTGGCAAGAACACAGGGACTTTGGTCCTACAGATGCAAAGAGCCTAATGCTGCCAACAACCTGAAAGAGCAGAAAACAGAACCTGCCAAGAGCCACCAGCAAGAACTGCAGCACTACTGACACTTGTATTTTTGCCAGAGAGACCCTGCTGACTTTAAGAACTTTAAGATAATAAATTTGTGTTGTTTAAGCCATTATGTTTGCAGTAATTTGTCACAGCAGCATTAGTTATAAGAAAGCTGGAGTAACTATACTTGACAAAGTAGATTTCAGACACATTAACAATCTTAAACATTTATATACCTAATAACAGAGCTTCAAAATACATAAAGCCAAAACTAATAAAAATGCAAGGAAAAACAGACAAATCCAAATTAAAGATTTCAACATCTCCCTCTCTACAATTGATAAAACAAGTGTTGACAGAAAATCAGTAAGAATACAGAAGACACGAACAACATTGTCAGCAACTTGACCTAAGTATTATTTACAGAATACTCCATTCTGTAACAGCAGGATATTTATTTTTCCAAAAGCACAGAGAACATTTACCAAGACTAACCATATTTTGGGTAATGAGTCTCAATAAATGGAAAAGAATTCAAGACATACAAAGATTGTTTTCTGACAAAAACAGAATTACATATATAAATAAGAGACACCTGAGAAATCTCCAAGTATTTAGAACTACTTAATAGTCTTTCAAATAATGCATGAGTCAAAAAAGGAATCGAAAGTGAAATTACAGCCAGGTGCAGTGGCTCACACCTATAATCCCAGCACTTTGGGAAGCCAAGGTGGGAGGATTGAATGAGGCCAGGAGTTCAAGACCAGCCTGGTCAACATATCGAGACCCCCATCTCTACAAAAAATAAGAAAAATTAGCCAGGTGTGGTAGTGTTTGCCTGTAGCTCCAAGAGGCTGAGGCAGGGGGATCACTTGAGCCCAGGAGTTCAAAGTTGCAGTGAGCTATGGTCACACCACTGCACCCCAGCAGCCTGGGCAACAGAGTGAGATCCTGTCTCTAAAAAAAATAAAATAAAAATTGTTTTTAAAAAAGAGAAATTACAAATTCATGTTGAAGTGAATGAAAATGAAAAGACATAAGACATATCAAAATTTGTGGGTCCCTGGTGGTCTAGTGGTTAAGGAAAAAATAATTTGTGATAATTTATGGCATTAAATGCCTATATTAGAAAAGAAAAATGACTTCTACCTTAAGAAACTAGATACCCAAATGAAGCAAAAGAAAGGAAACAAGTATTGTACAAATCAAAGAAATAGAAAACAGAGAATAGAAAAAAATAATAATTTGTGACATAGTGAGACTCTGTCTGTAAAAAAAATAAAGAAAAAGAAATTAGCTGGGTGTGGTGGTACATGCCTATAGTATTATACCAGCTACTCCAGTGGCTGAGGCAGGAGGATTGCTTGAGCTGAGGAGTTTGAGGTTGCAGTCAGCTATAATCACACCACTACACTCCAGCCTGGGTGACAGAGTGAGACCGTGTCTCTTAAAGAAAAAAAAAAAAAAAAAAAATCAATGCTACCAAAGGTTAGTTATTTGAGAATATCAATAAATTTGATAACTTTTAACCTGACAATCAGGGAAAAAAGATGACACAAATTACCAATATCAGGAATGAGAGAAGTGACATCGCTACAGATTCTACAGATACTAAAAGAATATATTCTGAACTATATGCCAATAAATTCGATAACTTAAAAGAAACAGACAACTTCCTTAAAAGACACGAGCTACCAAAGCTCAATCAAGAAGAAACAGATAATCTAAGTAGTGCTATATCTAAAAAGAAATTGAACTTATAGTTAAAAGCCTTCCAACAAAGCCTACATGGCTTCCCTGGGGAATGCCACCTAACATTTAAGGAAGAAATAATACCAACTCTACACAAATTCTTCCAGAAATATTGAAACGAAGGGACTACTTCCCAACTGATTCTATGAGCATTATTCTCATAACAAAACCAAAGACATTACAAGAAAACTACAGACCAATATCCCTCATGGATCCAGATGTGAAAATTCTTAACTATATTTTATCAGATATTCACCATGTAAAAAGGATAATACATCACGACCAAATAAAGTTTATTCCACAAACACAAGGTTGGCTTTATATCTTAAAATTCAGCCAATGTAATTCACAACATTAATAAACTAAAAATGGCCAGGCATAGTGGCTCATGCTTATAATCGCAGCACTTTGGGAGGGCAAGGCAGGGGGATCACTTGAGGCCAAGAGTTTGAGACCAGCCTGGGCAATGTAGCAAGATCCTGTCTCTACAAAAAATAACAAAAAAGGCTGGGCGCGGTGGCTCACGCCTGTAATCCTAGCTCTCTGGGAGGCCGAGGTGGGTGGACTGCTTGAGCTCAGGAGTTCGAAGTCAGCCTGAGCAAGAGCGAGACCCCGTCTCTACTAAAATTCGAAAGAAACTAATTGGACAACTAAAAATATATACAAAAAATTAGCCAGGCATGGTGGCGCATGCCTGTAGTCCCAGCTACTCGGGAGGCTGAGGCAGAAGGATCGCTTGAGCCCAGGAGTTTGAGGTTGCTGTGAGCTAGGCTGACGCCACGGCACTCTACTCAGGGCAGCAGAGTGAGACTCTGTCTCAAAAAAAAAAAAAAAGGCTAAAATTTATCGAAATTTATGCACACACTTATAGATCAAAAATGGCGCCATTTGCAGTCAAGAGAAATGTAAATATAGAGGTGTGGTATTAAATTGTAACTGCACAAAATTAACCATTGTACACACTGTACTACTGTAATAATTTCATAGGCACCTCTAGTTGCTACTGCAGTGAGCTCAAGTGTTTCGAGTATCTGCTTATAACACCGTGTGATGCTAATCATCTCTAAGTGAGCAGTTCATCTTTCCAGTAAATTGCATATGGCAGTAAAAACCGATCACTCATGGCGTCTGGTATTTCTCATCATGTTTAGTGCAATACTGTAAACTTTGAATAACACCATGGGACCCATACGAAGTGCCACCAACAATGCTGGAAATACTCCCCAAAAGCAGAGAAAAGTCATGACATTACAAGGAACAGTTGAATTGCTTGATATGTATCATAGACTGAAGTCTGTTGCTGCCTCAAATGCAGTTGCCTGTCATTTCAAGATAAAGGAATCCACGATGACATTCTTCACAGAAATAGAAAAAAATAATCCTAAAATGTATATGGAACCACAAAAGACCCAGAATAGCCAAAGCCATCCTGAGCAAAAAGTATAAAACTGGAGGAATAACATTACCTGACTTCAAATTATAATACAGAGCTATAGTAACCAAAACAGCACAGTACGGGCATAAAAACAGATTCATGGAGCAATGGAACAGAATAGAGAATCCAGAAATAAATCCACACATCTATAGTGAACTTATCTTTTTTT